GTCCCACAACCCCACCTCGATCCAAGGAAGGTCAGGGAATGTAGTCCCTGGCTGGTCAGCCAGTTCCCAGAGACAACTCTACATCATGGAAAAGGACGCATGGATTTTGGCGGTCAGTTAGCTGTCTCTGGAAGACGGTAGAAGTTAAAGAATTAAAATGATGATCATGACAAAGCTTTCCCTTTCTCCCCCTCTCTCCCATTTCCTTTCTTTTTATCTCCTTGGAAAAAGATGGAGTACAAATGATCACATTTGCTCACTGTGCGGTTTTGTGTGAGGCCAGCCCTTACCCAAGTCAACAGTAAACTGGAGGCCACTGGAGCGTGGTAGTGAGGTGCATGGAGCCTGGAGCCTGGGCTCAAATCCTAGCTCTGCTACTTACTAGATATGAAACCTTGAGCCAGTTACTTGACCTCTCCAAGCCTGTTTCCCCATTTGTAAGATGAGGGTGATAAGGATAGCACTTACCGTATGGGATTGTTTTGAGGATTCATTTGGTTAATTCCTGTAAGAAAGTTATGCGTGGTACATGGGAAGTACCCAGTAATTGTTAGCTACCGTTGTAGAAGAATGGAGTGTCCGCTTCTGCAGAAGCCTCCTCCTGGGGGTACAAACGCTATCTTCCCACTCTTTTCTATATTCTCTTGTCTAAGAGACACCAATACAGGATGTTTCCCTAGTTTAAATTGGTGAAAGTTATAAAGTAGAAATCCCTTCAATAAACTTTAAATTCTTTTATTACCGATCTCCAAGCAAGATGAGTTTTTCAAAATGTGTAACCAAACACATTTGGTGAACAAGGATGAATCCACTTTGGGGGCACAGCTCTGCCAACTGATTTGAAGTGTGATTTCCTATGTGAGGGTCAATACAGAGGAGCTGTTTTTTTCAAGTTCAGGAACTTTTTCATTATGTTTTCAAAAGATTGAGCAGAGAAGAAAGGGGTCTGATGTAGCATCTCAAGCAAAGCCCTGTTGTTTCTCCTTAAGGACTTTATTGAGATCACAGGATAAGTTTTCCATCTATCACTGCATTTAGTCTCACCTTGGGGGTAGGGTGGGCAGTGAGGACACAGGTGGCTTTCCCAGACTCAGGGTGATTGGGGGGGGCGGGCGAGCTAAGACCCAGCCTTACTGTGTGTGTGTCGATCATTCACTCTACCCTTCCTCTTACTCACTTATTCCACCACTGTCTCTTTCCCACCCTCCCCCAAATGTAAGACTTCTGCTGAAGGATTCAGGGAAAGATGTCTTTTATTTAATGGGAAATGTTTTAGAAAAACAGAAGCAGGTGAGGAGGGGAACAGGGACCATCTGCTTTGAACAGATTGTGCGCTGAGTAATATTTTATGTAAACATAGGACTTCAAGTATAAAGTCAGAAGATATTTCTGGCACCTTTAATCAAGTTTATGATATTTTGGAAGTACTTATAATGAGTCATCAAGTTTATTATATTCTGGAGGTATCTGTAATCAGTAATTAGGTGAATGTTTTAGAGGTACTTGAAATCAGTCCTGTATGAAACCACCTCGTTTCTTTGTGATCAGGGCCCTGTTTCTTTAAGCCAGTGGTTCTCAACCTGTGGGTCGCGACCCCTTTGGGGGTCGAACGACCCTTTCACAGGGGTCACCTAAGACCATCGGAAAACACATATATAATTACATATTGTTTTTGTGATTAACCACTATGCTTTAATTATGTTCAATTTGTAACAATGAAATTGGGGGTCACCACAACATGAGGAACTGTATTAAAGGGTCACGGCATTAGGAAGGTTGAGAACCACTGCTTTAAGCACTCACATCCTTTAACTTGCTAAATATCAGTGTCTAGTTCAAATATTCATTACCCATCTGATTTAAAAAATATATGTATTTTCCACCGTTTGGTCGATTTGCATATTAAGCTTTTGTTATATAGGATAGCCTGGTCAGTGTGGCTCAGTGATTGAGTGTTGACCTATGAGGTTCGATTCCTGGTCAGGGCACATGTTTGGGTTGCAGGCTCCATCCTTAGTGTGGGGCGTGCAGGAGGCAGCCAATCAATAATTCTGTGGATTCATTGATGTTTCTCTCTCCCCCTCCTTTTCCCTTCCTCTCTGAAATCAATAAAAATATATTTTTAAAAATGATGAACTGCACATCGACTATAAACTGTTCTGATTCTGTGTTAATTTCATCTTTCTCATCATGAGTCTAAAAGCCTCCATTTGGTACCTATGGCAGCTTCCAAAACTGTCTCTGTATAGATGTAGATGTAACCAATGCTGACTCCATCTTTGTATGCCCCTTTCTTTTGAATTTCCATGTTCTTTTTTTTTTTTTTAAATATATTTTATTGATTTTTCACAGAGAGGAAGGGAGAGAGATAGAGAGTTAGAAACATCGATGAGAGAGATACATCGATCAGCTGCCTCCTGCACATCTCCCACTGGGGATGTGCCCGCAACCCAGGTACATGCCCTCGACCGGAATCGAACCTGGGACCTTTCAGTCCGCAGGCCGACGCTCTATCCACTGAGCCAAACCGGTTTTGGCAATTTCCATGTTCTGAACCTGACCTCGATAGTCTCAGCCAGAACCAAAGCCTTATGGTTAATGATTAGTTATGTCCTATAAGCTTATACAATATAACCATAGAGATTCCTGTCAGTAAAAGGCCAGAATAAATATCAAAGTAGGTGCTGGTGTCAATTGGAAGCAGTTTACCATCATAAGACCAGGAGGTATGCTCCCTTAGGCTTGTGGCTCAATAGTAGTTCAGCTCTACTATAAACATTTACTGTAACAACTGCCCAGCAGCGGTGATTACCTGCACAGACTGTGGGCCACTTTCCACGCTGACCCACTCTTCCTGTAACTTACTCTACAAGTCCTGTTATAATCAATGGACTTGCCTGCCTCGTTTTCTGGTCTCAAGATACCTTCTCGGTCCGGTGGTCATTGTACCTCCGTCCCTTCGGACAGTCTCCAGCTGGGAACTGAGTGTCGTAAGTCCTAAGAAGAGATATCAAGGGCTCAGTTACTGGGGTTTAGCTTGGTTTCTGACTCCAATCCTTAAAGCTTTACAAAGATGCTGGACATGCAAAGTCCAACTCAAATACTGTCAGCAAGAGGCTCTTGCCTCAGGAGCAAATGAGTTCACTATTTGAGTAATCTGTCACCATCCCTTCCCAGATGAATACAAGCCAAGGTGGGGCCTATTTAAGTAGAGCTGTAGAGATTTAGATTACAGAAACATTAGGTCCACTGTAGGTCAGAGTATGCAAGAGTTAGTTTTCAAATTTTCATCAACTTTCTAATCATGACCAAACATATTTCAGAAAAATGCTTGACTTTCTACATAAATGAAAATCAGAATTTTGAATGAAGACTAATTCAGAATAGTTATTTTTTCTGGAACATTTAATGGCTTCAAGTGCAAACAATATCAAGTAGAAATACCGTCCATGTTTTATGATAATGGTTAAATTCCAAGGTTAACTGTAAACAGTCACTTGAATTTCAAAGTCAGATACCCTTTATATGCTCATGGGAAAGTCTGGTCTCTATTATCAACTCTCCTTAAGTTTATTATAGATTGCTACCTGGATCCTGGTATCTATTCTTCCCTTCCTCCATAGTAACAGAATCCTGATTTTGAGCCAGGTACATGGCTGCCTGAACTAACTAATCCCCCAACCTCCCTTGCAACTAGGGGTGACCTATTATGGGGTTGAATTCTGACCTGTGAGTCTTAAGAGGAGTTATTATGGGGTACCCTTCTGGAACCTTCCATAAAACACTTCTGGCACATTTCCTGTTTCTTTCTTTGTCCCTTCTTTAATCCATCCTGTTGCTTGGAAAGTGGATGCAGTAGCTAGAGTGTTAGTTGGTCGTCTTGACCATGAAGACCGAGAGAAGTCTGGGTTCCTAAAGGCTTTGTGAAACAGATTCATCCCATGACCCTGGGTTGCCTACTTTTAGACTTTTATGTGAGAGGAATTTCCATGTTGTGTAAGCCAGTTATTTATTTTCTTAAATATATGTTTATTGATTTCAGAGAGGAAGGGAGAGGGAGAGATAGAAACATCAAAGATGAGAGAGAATCACCGATTGGCTGCCTCCTGCACAGCACCTACTGGGGATCAAGCCTGCAACCTGGGCATGTGCCCCGATGGGGAATCGAACTATGACCTCCTGGTTCATAGGTCACTGCTCAACCACTGAGCCACACTGGCTGGGCTAAGCCAGTTATTTTTGGCTTTTGTTAGATATAGCTGAATTTAATCCAAATGACTGAAACCAAGAAACACTCTCAAATGAGCCCTAGGAAGAAGTTCCAGGTGAAGAAACCATTCCAATCTATACTGCAGACAAAGACACAGTCAGCTGCCTTTCTGGATTCAGGTTACTAAGAGGAAAACCAACCAACAACCAAAAGAGAAGAAACCTTAATGAAGACCCTAAGTGTAGGGCCAGTCTTGGAACACATTTTAGTTCTGAATGGTTTGGTGGGAAAACAGTGTGATGGACAAGTTAACTCCTTTCGGACAAGTTAATCCACGTAAAGTGCTGGTCCCCGTGTTTGGCACATGGCGAGGTGCTCTCTCAGCCATTAGGAGCCACGTGACCACTCAGTCTGCTTCCAGTGTCCTTCCCCGAGGCGGGCGCGGTGGGCCTGCTGATGTCCCCTGCCTGCCTTACGGAAGGCCCATCCCCACACTTACTAGTATCAACAGGAAACAAACCTAGAAAAGGGAGACTCCTTAGTTCCAGGTTACACAAATCCACAGGAGAAAAACCAGCAGCGGAGGAGGAAATCCACTCTTTATTTACAATTCTTTCACTTTACCCACAATTTCCCATACAAACATAAAAACTAAAAAAATAAAACCACCACTTGGGAACATAAGTGTCTTTCTTCAGTCCAGCTGAGGCTGGGCCCCGGGCCCGCTCTGCGGAGGAGACTGAGGCACACGGCGGGGAGGGCGCAGGGTTAGGAAGGATGCCTGAGAAACAGCTCCAGATGAGAGACAAGACGCCTGTGAGTGGCTCTGCTGGCAGACACCAGGGTGTCACCCCTGGGACACGGCTTGGCTTCCCAAGAAGATGACAGCTGCATGCCACCATCCCCCACTGCTCCGCTACCGAATGCCAAACATCGAACAGGAGTCACACATCTCGTGAGCTGGATGGGATGTGATCACAATGGTGGGGACACCAAATGCCTCCCTCTGAGAAGAGCCCAAAACCCCAGGGACACACAGGAAACCCCTTTCCTTGGCACTGACAGTCAGTCACAGCTTCTGTCCTGAATACAATGCTGACTTACAAATGTAAAAACAAAAGCCCTCCCCGATTCTGGGGGAAAGGCAGGGGCTACAAACATGCAGAAGGGCTTCTGCCTCTGTGGTCCTCTCTCTGGGAGGCTAGGGTGAAGAGGGGGGAGCTCTGACTGAAGGCAGGAAGGAGCAGGGCAGAGGCTCCACCAGGGCCGGGGAGGGGAGTCAGAGGGGAGGAAAAACAACTGAGACACTGAGGCTCAGCATGGCTGCCTCTGGTTTCACAGCAGCTCCATCTGCTCAGCACAGCCCACTCACTTCCCTCCCGCCCAGGAGGGCATCCAGAAACCAACCTGCTGGCAACGTCACCTGCGCTGGTGACGCGGATTGCTTTCACAAGTTGATGCGCATTATAAATATAAAATCATATCTGCTACAAAGAGGACATATATTTGTACATCTTTACCCATATACATAATAACACAATTTACACATAATATCTTGGAGTGGGTCGTCATGGAAAAGGCTTGGAGAGGTAAGGAGACCCTTCTCCCTCCCCCGCCCTGTCCTTCTCAAGGGACGCTTGCACACTCGGTCGCTGGGCCTTTCCCAGCTGGTGTGATGGGCTAGTCTGGACGAAGAAATTCAGACAGGCAACTCAATGTTGGGTGGGCATTCCCACGCATGAACACAAGCGCACGCTCACATACTAGTGAGAAAAGGAGAAATAAAACCCCTAGCCCTTGGGTACAGGCTCTTCCCAGTTATAAGCATCCGTGTCTCCTCCATCTGAGAACAATGGTCTTGAAAAGCTGCCCCTCACTGGCTCAGACCAGGGCAGCAGGTAAAGGGCTAGGAACCGTGGACAGGGGAGAGGGGCTAGGAATATTTTGAAAACATAAGGCGTTTCTGACCTGTGATCAAATCAAACTATGTCACAAAAAGCAACAATATCAGTTGGGGTTGGGAGGCAAGAGACAGCCAGTCCATGGATGGTCAATGTAAGTGAAGACCCTGAGCCTTCCCCTTCATTTCTCCAGTTTCTTTTAAAGGGGCAGACAACCCTGTACCTCTTTTTCAGTCCTCTCCCAGAGCTGGCCCATGCACGTGGCATGGAATACTGACAGCGGTCCAGGAGACCCATCCAGAGACATGGAGTGGTGGATAGGCACACCAAAAAGTTAAGACCTGGGCGGCGGATGTGAGCTTTTTACAGCAGGAGTGGTTCCTGGTCCAGTCCACGGCTCGCACAGTGGCCACAGTGATCAGATTGCCATCAGAGACGGGGGCAGTCTGGGTCCCCATGGGGAGATAGCACCTATCGACGGTAGTGATTGGGGGCGTCGGCGAACATGTACTTGAGCCTGTATGCCTCAGCGAGGAGCAGCCCGATCTCTTCGTTGCCCCAGTGTATCGTAGGTAGGTTTTGTAGCAGCATGAGGAGACCCTGAAACGCAAGAAAGGACTTTGCTCATCCCGGGACCACAGAGCAATGGACCCATAGGTCCTGGACGGGTCCCTTTCTCTGTCCCACATCCTGACAGGTGGGGCCTCCCTCCTCCCAAGCAGCACACGGCCCTCTGTCCCCAGGAAGCACTGAAAAGCCTCTGCTGATTTCCCAATCCACTAACACCTGCCTCTTTAAAAATATTATAAATAGAGAATGACAACAGTAAATATGGATATTTAAAAAATAAAAATAATCACTCATCATCCAAATATCTCCCTAATTTTGAAGTATTCCTTTTCAGTCTTTTCACATGCATATTTCTTTAAATAGTTGTAATCATAATTAGGATTTCATGTGATTTCAGATAAATTTTTACCTATAATTATCATGTTTTTCCATGCAGCCTTCAAAAATGATTACATTCAATATTAGTATTGTCATGTGGCTATACTAATTTATGCAACCATGTCCCTTTTGTTAGTAACTTAATTTGCTTCCTTTAAAAGAAAAACAAAAACATTTACTAGTACTGGCAACTGCTACATATCCTTCTGCATGGACACTTTTCTCGCAATACAATGTTACTTGCAATCACCCTATTCCTCCCCCTGTTCTCCAAGACCATCCCCAACCTCCTGCTTAACTCTCACTGTTCCCATGTACAGGCCTCCTCCAGCCGGGTCCATTCAGCCACGTCTGCTTGTGCTCCCTGGTTTAACTTATGTTCTTCCTTTCACTTGGAACACCTCTTCTTTTAAAACTCCACCCATCTAAACTCTATTAGTTTTCAAAGCACAGGTCCCTCAAACAGCTCCATGGAGACCACTATTAAAGAGGACATTGGAATAAAAATGAATGTGAGATTTTAGGTTCTCTCGGTATTTAGTTACCTACGCTATTGCTGCTGCTTCAAGTTCTTTCTCTGCCTCTCTTTCTGAACTGGATATTCTTGTTATTTTTCTGATTATAAAAGTAATTGTAGCAAGACACAAACCCCAGAGCCATAAACTTACTGAGATTTGATTACATATAATTATAAAAACCTTAATGTGTCAAGGCACCAAAAATAAAAATAAAGTATAAGAAACTAACTATAAGGAAATACGCATAACACCTGTAAAAGATGAAAGGTTAATACCCAAATCAAAGAGTGCCTACATACCAGTAAGAAAAAAGGGAAACAACCAAGTAGACAAATGGCTGGGCTGATGGCCCACCCACAGGCTGTGGTGCCTTAGCAATGTTTTGTAGTGTAAAGGCCTTGCCCATCTTTATGAGGTTTCTTCTTTCAGCAACAGAAACTTAGCTGGCTTTATCATACTGTTAACGCATCACTGCAATGTATGGCCAATATGACTAAGTTCTGATTAATTCTGGATTCTGCCCTAAACTTTCCTTCTTTCTCCCATTCCTAGAAAATGGATATAAATGCAGGAGTGGAAGCAGTCATCTCAGACCCTAAGGTTTTAGAGCCACGTGCCGAAGATGGTAGAGCAACAAGCCAGAAGAGTCAAAGAAAAGTAAACAACTATCTTGTTTTAAGCCACTGTTATTCTACGGTTTTGGTTACAGGACAGTTTAAATCATCTTAAGAAATACAGGCCATGTATAACAAAATCAGAAACACCCATGGTGTTTGACCCAGGACTCTATGTCGGGGTCCCTCTCCTCGGGAAATATTCACACTCCTGTATAAAGGTAGTGACTGCATCACTGCTCCCAATAGCGGAATGACACCAGAGAAGTCTCCTCCTTATGGGAATAGTTAGATAGACCGTGGCTATCCATATCATGAAATACAGGCAGCACCTGTAACAAATGAAGTAGGACTCCATGCACCAAGGTAAAAAATAGCTAAGACATTTTTAGGAGGAAAAAAGAGGAAGATGTAGGAAAATACGTATAATATAGAATCACTTAGGTAAATGGGAAAACATAATATATTTATAATTTATATATGTATATGAGTGTATAAAAACTTTAAAAAACCTATATTGGTGTATAAAAACTGTAGAGGGCTAGGCACTTGCTTTTGGGGAAGTGAGACTTTCACTTTATCATTATACTTCTCTATCTTTCAAGCCTTTTGTTTTCAATGTTTACAATAAAGTCTCAATACACATTTTGTGGAAGTTTCATTTAGTAAAAAGAAAAAAGCAGAAAATAAAATACCCATAACTTCATAATCAAGAGGAAGCTATTTTGCAATGTTTTGGCATATTTCCTTCCAGTCCTTTTTCTGCACATTTTACACAGTTGAAATAGTTCCTTTATGTAATGTTGAATCTATTTAGTGTTTATCATAAGCATTTCCTCTAATATTAAGAACTCCTTGTAGACATTCTCAATGGCCAATTTTCCATGATGCAGATGTACCATCATTTATTCTACATCTTCCTGTTTTGAGCACTTGATTATTTCTGGTTTTTCACTATAATGAAATTATAATGAACAGCCTTATGCATAAAGCCATATTTTAGACTATTTTCTTGGGCTAAAGTCCTAGGAATGAAATTACTATGTCAGAGGGCATGAATATTTTAAAAGTACTTAACACTCATCCAGAAAACGCATTCCAGAAAAATGCTCATTTCCCAGATCTCCACCAGCACTGAATACTATCATTAAAAAAACTCCGTCCCTGAGATCTCCAAGCCTGAGAATAAAACTCGAAGACTTAAGTCAAAATGGTGGTAAACCCACAGGAAGAACAAGAGAAAGCAATCAGTCTATCTGCTTCTCTATCTGCCCATACTCTCCTGTCAACTTATTTTTTAAAATATTTTTAAAATTAATTTCAGAGAGGAAGGGAGAGGGGAGAGAGAAATAGAAACATCAATGATGAGAGAGAATCATTGATCTGCTGCCTCCTGCACGCCTGACATTTGGGATCGAGCCCACAACCCAGGCATATGCCCTTGACCAGAATTGAACCTGGAACCCTTCAGTCCGCAGGCTGACGCTCTATCCACTGAGCCAAACCAGCTAGGGCCAAACTTCTTTTTTTAAAATGTTGTCCTTGGAATATAATACCCTCCCCCATGAACTCCCTGACTCCCCTTTGACCCCTCTTCTGCTTCCTATGCCTTCCCCCAAAGGCCCCACCCAAACTCCTCAGGGAGTCAACTTTTATTCTAACTATAAGACTCTCTATTACAGAGGTCTTGACCCTTTCTGTACCTCAGACTCTGGCTACTTGGTGAAGCCTATCTTTAGCTGTATGGTAAAGTCATTTTCAGAATAATGGTTTTAAATACATAAAATGAAATACACAGAATCACATAGACCAGTTAAATTGAAATATAGTTATCAAAATGTTTTTTTACTAAAAAACGTTTTTATTTCAGAGAGGAAGGAAGAGGCAGAGAGAAATAGAAACACTAATAATGAGAGAGAATCATCGATAGGCAGCCTCCTGCACACCGCCTGCCTCACCCCCAAGGGATCAAGCCTGAAACCTGGGCTTGTGCCTGACCAGGAATTGAACCCTGACCTCCTGGTTCATAGGTTGATGCCCAACCACTGAGCCACACTGGCCGGGCTTATCAAATATTTTAAAAACAAATTTGTGGTATTATAATGTATATACTTCATTAATATATTCTATAAGAAGATCTAATGGCAGATTAACTACTATAATTTCAAACTAGTAATAAACAATGTTATAATCAGTGACAGAGACAGGTACTACTAATATTACTGTGCTTTGTTGCCCACACTCATTACTGCAGGAAACACTAACTTTGAATTAGGGGTCACTGAAGAGAAAACTAATTATGTTCCATTCACATCCAGGGATCTCCTGACTTCTAAATGTGGACCCTATGTTAAGGTCCTTGTTCTTCTTGCCCTTCTCTTGATCCATACCACAGCTAACAAGAACTCTTATACTTCCTTCCAGAGTCTAGTTTAACACTCAGGTTAATGCTAAAATTAATTTTTTTAAATATTTTTTCATTGATTTCAGAGAGAGGAAGGGAGAAGAGAGAGAGAGAAACATCAATGATGAGAGAATCATTTTGATCGGCTGCCTCCTGCATAACCCCTACTGGGGATCAAGCCCACAACCTGGGCACGTGTCCTTGACTGGAATCGAACGTGGAACCCTTCAGTCCGCAGGCCGAAGCTTTATCCATTGAAACAAACCAGCTAGGACATTAATACTAATTTTTAACTTAATTAATTCATTGGAGAAGTTTTTTATTGATTTTTGTTGGCATAGAATCTCATTCCCACTTTCAATCAACTCGCTGGGTGAGGCCATGTCGCTATTCTATTTCATTTTTATTTTTTAATAAATTTTTATTGATTTCAGAGAGAAAGGGAGAGGGAGAGAGAGAGAGAAACATCAATGATGAGAGAATCATTGATCAGCTGCCACCTGCACGCCTCCCACTGAGGATTGAGCCCACAACCCAGGCATATGCCCTTGACCATAATCGAACCTGGAACCCTTCAGTCTGCAGACCGATGCTCTATCCACTGAGCCAAACCGGCTAGGACGCTATCCTATTTCTTGAGGCATACCTCACTGACTCCGAACCAGCCCTGAACTGAAGAAAGGATATTTGCTTAGCCTCACCCAGAACATAAGCACCAAGAGGCCTGGAGACTCAGTGAGACCCTTAGGGCTTCAAGTGATCATCGCACTTGCCATCCAACCAGTGTAAGAGCTTAAGCGGATGCAGGAACTCTTAGAAACACATGGGTCCAAGCCTCATTCCTGGGGTTTTGGATTCTAAATACTTAGGATGGGACCCGGCAACCCACACTTTTCACAAATGTCTCCAATGATTCCAACAGGCAACCAGGTCTGGGGTTCCACTAGAGCAGCGGTTCTCAACCTGTGGGTCGCGACCCCTTTGGCGGTCCAATGACCCTTTCACAGGGGTCGCCTAAGACCATCCTGCATATCAGATATTTACATTACAATTCATAACAGTAGCAACATTACAGTTATGAAGTAGCAACGAAAATAATTTTATGGTTGGGTCACA